AAAAAACACACCAGGTGAAAACGCGGAGATGTGAATCTGTCCCATAGGAAATCATGTTAAATGGACTGCTGTGTGTTTTTGCAAAACACAGCAGAAAATGCATAGGCGTCAACCTAGACTTAGTTACTAATTTTGCTCTGTTAAATGAAATTAATTTTTTTTCGTTTATTCGTTTTTGACCAGATTCATATTTTTTTTCAATGGATTTGAAGTATTAGAATCGAAAATATCTGATCTGGATTAATTGTGAAGACTAGTTGGTTCTATTCCATTCAAAATTAAAATTTCGAAAGACAGCTATATTCTATTTTATTCTATTCTATTCTTTTAGTCTCTATTCTATTATTTTAGATTCTATTCTGTTTTACTCAAATCTTTTCTATTTTATTCTATTTTTTTTCTAAATTCTAATTTCAGAAGATGGCTATATATATTCTATTTTATTCTATTCTTTTCAAATTGCTAAATTCCAATTTTGGAAGACGGCTATATTGTTTCCATTTTATCTATTCTTTTCTAATCTATTCTATTTTTCATATTCTATTCTATTCTTTTAATTTTATATTCTATTCTGTTCTGTTTTATTCAATTTAATTATTTTCAAAATGCAAATTTCAGAAGGTAGCTGTATGCATTATATTTTATTTTTTATTTTCTGTTATATTATTTTCTATTATATTCATTTATTTTCTATTCTATTTTTTTATTTAATATGCTATTCTTTTATTTATGAAATTTAAATTCAAAGTTCAAAGATGGATATATTCTTTCTGTTCTATCCTATTCTTTTTTATTCTGTTGTTTTATTATATTTTATTCTTTTCTAAATATGAATTTTGAAAAACTGCTATATTTATTCTATTCTATTCTATTATTTAAATTTTTTTCTATTCTTTTATTTTCTATTCTATTCTGTTTTATTCAATTCTATTCTACTCATTCTTTTCTTTTCTATTCTATTATTTTCTATTTTTTCTATTCTTTTATTTTCTATTCTATTCTATTTTATTCTATTCTTTCCAAAATTCGAATTTAGAAATTCAAAGTTTGAAAAATGACTATTTTCTTTCTATTTTTTTCTATTCTATCCTATTCTTTTCTATTCTATTGTTATATTTTTTATTCCATGTTTTTCTATTCTATTCCTTTATTTTATATTGTATTCTTTTATTTTCTATTCTATTCTATTGTAATCTCTTCTATTTTTTATATTCTATTCTGTTTTATTCTATTGTTTTCAAAATTTGAATATCAGAAGATGGCTATATTCAAATACACAATGAGGGTTGTTTACTTAAACTGGAGAGTGCAACATCTGCTTCCAGGTTTTATTGTCAAAGCTTAATTGAACAAGCTGAAGTTAGAGGCTAAGGCCAGCCATACATGGGTCGAAATTCTACCGATTTTTCGTCAGAAAATTGGACCTACGAATAATCGTCCGATTTTCGCTCTGTTAGTGGGTGAATGGCACTGGCCAATTTTTCGTGGTTCCTCCCCTTTTCGGTGATCAAGCATGTTGGAAAATTTGTGAAAAATGACTGATGGTCAAATCGTACGATCGTTTTCCAAAAAAGCATATGCGCATGAGCCGTGACCTGGAAGGAACAGAAGTTTCGCCTGTTATATGGGGTGAACTTTATGACTTGGTTGGCCAATTTTTTTAAATCATTGATGGCACCATCAGATTACTGGCCAAACAACTGGCTACCATGCACAATTGAAAGCATCAGTTTTAGTAATTCTACCCCAAAGTCTGGGGTGCAGAAAAATGGCAGCAGGTGCTCTGGACTGATGAATCAAAATGTTAAATATTTGTCTGTAGCATGAGGCTGTTTGCTTGGTGAATGACTGGAGAGTGGCACAATAATGAGTGTCTGCAGGCAACAATGAAGCATGGTGGACGTTCCTTGCAAGTCTGGGGCTGCATTTCTGCAAATGGAGTTGTAAATTTGGTCAAGATCAGTGGTGACCTCTATGCTGAGGATTACAGGCAGATACTGATCCATCATGCTATACCATCAGAGAGGTAAGTGATTGGCCCCAAATGTATTCTGCAGCAGGACAATGACTCAAAACATACAGCCAGTCTCATTAAGAACTATTTTCAATGTAAAAAAGAGCAAGGAGTCCTGGAAGTGATGATTTGGCCCCCACAGAGCCCTGGTCTCAACATCATTGAGTCTGTCTGCAATTACATGAAGAAACAGAAGGATTTGAGGCAACCTACATCCACAGAAAATCTGTGGTTAGTTCTCCAAGATGTTTGGAACAACCTACCTGCCGAGTTCCTTCAAAAACAGTGTGCATGTTCTAAGAAGAACTGATGCTATTTTGAAAGGAAAGAGTGTTCATGCCAAATATTGATTTGATTTGGATTCCTCTTCTGTTCATTTACTTTCCGTTTTGTTAAATGATACAAATAAACTATTAAGGCTTCTTTTTCTGAAAGCATTCTAATTTGCAGCATTTTTTCACCTCTGCCTAAATCTTTTGCACAGGAGTATATACACTACTCAAAATAAAATAAATAAAGGAACATTTTTTAATCAGAGTATAGCATATAGTCAGTTAAACTCCTGGGATATTGATCTGGTCAGTTAAGAAACAGACGGGGTTGTCAATCAGTTTCAGCTGCTTTGGTGTTAATGAAATTAACAACAGGTGCACTAGATGGGCAACAATGAGATGACTGCCAAAACAGGAATGGTTTTAAAGGTGGAGACCACTGACATTTTTCCCTACTCATCGTTTCTGACAGTTTTTTCACTAGTTTTGCATTTGGCTAGGGTCAGTGTCACTACTGGTAGCATGAGGCAAAACTTGGACCCTACAGAGGTTGCACAGGCAGTCCAACTCCTCCTGGATGGCACATCAATACGTGCCATTGCCAGAAGGTTTGCTGTGTCTTCTAGCACAATCTCAAGAGCATGGAGGAGATTCCAGGAGACAGGCAGTTACTCTAGGAGAGCTGGAAGGGACCGTAGAAAGGTCCCTAACCCATCAACAGGACCGGTATCTGCTCCTTTTTGCAAGGAGGAACAGAATGAACACTTTCAAAGCCCTACAAAATGACCTCCAGCAAGCCGATGGTGTGAATGTCTCTGGTCAAACAATCAGAAACAGACTTCATGAGGGTGGTCTGAGGGCCCAACTTCCTCTAGTGGGCTCTGTGCTCACTGCCCGACACCATAGAGCTCATTCGGCATTTGCCATTAAACACCAGATTTGGCAGGTCTGCCACTGGTGCTCTGTGCTTTTCACAGAGGAGATTAGGTTCACCCTGAGCACATGTGACAGACATGAAAGGGTTTGGAGAAGCTGTGGAGAACATTATGCTTCCTGTAACATGTTATTTTACTTTGTTTTTTTGTTTTTTTTTTTACTTATTTCATTATAATTTTTTTTTTAAATATTATATTTTATTGGGGGGCTTTGGTGAGATATCAGGGGTCTAAACAGACCTCTGATGTTCCACCTTTGAGACAGAGAAAGGAGTTTTGAGGACACCGCCCTCAGTCACCATCTCTGCAGCCTCAACTGCATAGAATGAATGGACAGGAATAACTGTACATAGCTTCCCATTCATTCATAAAGTAAATCATATTAACTCTATTCATTTAGACAAGAAAGGGGCCTGTAAATGACATACAGTATTTACCTGCCCCTTCCCTGCTCTTCACCCTGACATATCCCCCACAGCAGCCAGTGGGACAGAGGAGGGGAGGGGGGGGACTAGACAAAGCTGTGTGGACAAGGGGGGGGGGGGGGCACAGGGGCCCAGGGGCAGCAGAAAGCAGCAGAAGCTGCCTATGAGGAGTTTTAAGGGTAGCAAATAGAGAAACTGATCCCCTCCATTTTCTTTCTGCAGCTGCTGAATGCCTGTGGGAGGGGGAAAAGGAGAAGTGGGCATTCAGAGGCTGCAGGAGGTACATAGAAGTGACTGAATCCCCTATATGCTGCCCCCCCCCTCCCTCCTATTTAGGTGTGCAAGGATAGTCGCACGAATCCCCTGGTAAATTGGGCCAGGTTGCAATTGTGACCCTTGCAACCCCTGTACTTATGCCCCTGGACAGAGTTATGAAATGTATTTCCCATAATCTTTACATCTCTTCTATACTAGGGCCCATATACAGTACATGACTGGTCTTGCTCAGCTTACAGTTCTAACTTACAGTTCTAGCTTACAGTTCTAACTTTCGGTATGATGTTTCAGTTTTTTCCTACTCTTACAATACTGTATGTGTGAAGGTCTGTGAATCTGCTAGCCAACCTGAGGCTAGCAGATTCACAGACTTGTGATTTGAGGCTAAGACCAATATTCAATGATTACGGATTGGACCTGATTTGATTTCTACCTCTCTTGTTCCTCTATCAGGAGGATACTTGATTCACGCCCAGGGGCTTGGATTTGGAGCAGAAGCACTTTGGATACACAGGCAGCCAGGGGCTTGAATGCTGAGGATAGTATCTGGAACATGCAGCATTGGCTATAATACATGCTTTTGTATTTTAGCCTTCTGATGAGTGCATAGAGGTGGAGGATTGTACACTGCTGGTAACAAATTGAAGACGTTTTCTTTTTGCACTTTGGGACTTGTTCATCTGGATATACACTATATGAATTGGACACATGTACTGTATATTGGAACACCATTGATTGATTCTTTATTGTATTTTTTATTCATTTATGATATACAGATTTATGTGAAACCTGCCAGACTAAATACATTGGAGGTATCCCCTTTTCTTTTTTATGTTTTGCACCAGTATGATGGTTGGTGTTTATTTACATGTATTATCTATGTTTATGTCACAGGGATATTTATTTGAAGCACTGCACTGTTCTTTTTCAAGTAGTTGTTTTTTTTTTTTGCCTGGAGTTCAGGCACCCATTTTTATTTTATTGTGTATTTTAATTGAATCATTGGATAACACAATTTGTCTGTATCTCTTATTCTAGAGCATCTACAGGAACTTTGCTACAGCAGAAGACATTTAGAATGGAAAGAACGCTCACTAATCCAGTTTGCTTGCAGTTTGAAAATGTCTCATTTTTCTGTCCAACTGACAGGCCTCTTGTTATACGTCTTGGGATATATATTTTTCTCACTGGCTGTATAATAATAACAGTTTTTGGAAATTTGGGCATCATTATTTCCATCAGCCATTTCAAAGAACTGCATTCCCCAACAAATTTTCTTATTCTTTCCATGGCTGCCACAGACTTTTTTCTTGGTGTCCTCATAATGCCCTGTAGTATGATAAGATCTGTGGAAAGATGTTGGTATTTTGGAAAATTCTTTTGTAAAATCCATTACAGTTTTGACTTAATGCTTAGTGTCATCTCTATTTTCCATCTTTGCTCTATAGCCATTGATAGATTTTATGCTGTATGTGATCCTCTCCACTATCCAAATAAAATCACCACATCTGTCACTAAGAAAATGATATTTATCTGCTGGTCTCTGCCAGCTATGTTTGCTTTTGGAGTTGTCATAACAAATTCCCATGTATCAGGAATAGTTGGATATGAGGCATTAGTGGATTGTTTTAATTTATGTCCAATTACGTTCAACAAATTGTGGTCTGTGATTATGTTTTTTGCATGCTTTTTTATTCCTGGCTCAGTTATGGTTGGAATTTACATACAAATATTCATAGTTTCTCAAAGGCATGCTAACATTCTGAAACAAGTTATGGGGAACTTGAAGGACAAAATGACAGCTCATATTTCCAAGCAAAAGGACCGGAAAGCTGCAAAGACACTGGGCATTGTGATGGGAGTGTTCATATCATGTTGGATGCCAATGTTTATAATCGTTTTAGCCGATCCATTTCTCAACTTTTCCACACCTGAACTTTTAATTGATGCTCTCAATTGGCTTGGCTATATCAATTCAACATGTAACCCTCTAATATACGGATTTTTCTATCCATGGTTTAGGAAATCCCTGAGATACATCATTTTTGGTAAAATATTTGAACCTGACTCTAGCTTAGTAAATCTATCTTAAAGTGTATTTATACCCCCAAAAATGTTATACGTCAGGTTACAAGTAATTAGATGGGTTGTTTTTTTGGTTTCTGGATTTCTTAGTTTATTTTCATCTCAATCCTGCTAGTAACACATAACACATTTCCTGCCCTAGGATAACTCTAGCACATCTGGAAGTAGCAGCACTGAAACTCTAGGACAGAAAATGTGTTACGGCCGCAGAACTCTCTTCTTCTCCATAACATAGGGGAAGGGTTTCTGTACTTTTCAAAGGTTACCTAGTCTTAAAGTCAGAATCCGTCTTTTGCATGCCATAAAAATATATAAGTCCATACTGTGCACAGGGAGAGAAAAACAGGCACACATTTAGTACAGCTAAGTAAGCTAAATAGTGTTAGACTATATGTCAGTTGCCTGAAACAATACACTTCTATGTTTTAGATGCTCAAGGTTACTGTTGGCTATATGCCCGGAAGACTAAGGAACAGTCTTTTGTATTCCCATGAGAAAACAGCTGGGCAAAGAATAATTTAAAGGGGACTTATAACTATAACAGTTATATTTATAACTGATACAAGTTAGAGTCTCCTAAGTATAACTCTGAGCAAGGCCCCCTTGACTTGTAAACTAGGCAGGAAGATAAGACTTACTAAGATAGAGTGCACAGGACAGCTATTGATTTCTAGCAGGACCTTACAGGTATTGTTGCACTTGTCAAAGAGATATAACACTTTTACCCCCGGTTCACATCTATGTGGCAGTGCGGGCCGCGTTTTGCACGGGCATGAGAGCCCATTCATTTGAATGGACTCCAGTGCCCTTGACACGCAGGAAAAGAGGACCCTGCACTCCTTTGGAAAAAGGAGTGCCATTAGAAATAATGGCACCCGCCCGTGGGTCTGCATTTCTCTGTGCGGGTGGTGCTGCTGCACGGATTTTCGTGCGGATCTGCAGAGGCACCACCCTCACAGATGTGTGCCTAGGATTAATGATATATTTAAGAGACCAAAGGGGTGCACAAAGCAATACAGAAGGTCTCTTAATTTTGACATGGAGAATCAATATTGGATTTCTTTTATTGATCCACTTTCTTAGCCAAGTTCCCCTTCCCACCCTGCAAGTCGTGACTGAAAGGAATGCACACACTATCCAGTGTCTGGTGCCAGGATTAGCAACTCAGAGGAACCACAAGCATGCATCCACATACAGGTCTTTGTCTGTATTAAAAGCTATTTACACTTTATTACAGAAGTATGGCAGTACAAACCAGTTAAGCTCCCTTTTCATGCAGTGGTATTGCAGGCCATGTCTATCCCTTTATCAAGCTAAAAGCAAACTGTAAGTTTGCAGTCTTGACTGATATAAATATACCATTTGTACCAATTTAAGAGTTATCCTGCAATCTCTGCACACTACCTGTGTTATATCAAAGAAACTATTAAGCCCTCCTAGTTCTTACCTTGGAGCACAGACTGATTCACCTTTATGTTGTAGAGATCTAAAAATGGGGGTGCTTAAGTAGTTATCAAAAAATGTTGGGCAGGGTTGCCATTCAGTTCACAAAATGCTGTCTTGTCTGCTTACACACGTCTTGAAAACTGAGTGCATTTTTGGAACACTAACAGGTACTTTTCTGTACATGCAGAGTCTCAAAAGGTGAATATGCATGTATTGCAAAAATGTTTTGCACATTTTATTTTTATTTTTCCTGACATATACTTTGAAGTCATGGGAGAGGAGTGCCAGAACCTCCAGAATAGAAATCTTACTGTCCATGTAATATAATGGTTATAAAAAGGACATGTTAGAGATCATCCAGTTAATTCACGTTAATTCAAACAAGTCTCCCTGATAAGATTTCTCATGATAGAAAAAAAAGGTCTGAGTCTGTGTTTATTATGCTTATTTTCTTCCTAAATCTACTAATAATCTGTACAGAGAAAATAATGTTCCCTTGCAAGCTTTGCCTTCATCTCCAGCCTCCAGCCACTCTACGATTAGGCTCCAGTTAGGATTGACACGCATTACGGTTGGTTGTACCTGGATGATTTGTGATGTCTGTGCATTGATTTGTGTCAATAAACTTAATTTTGGCTTTTTTGCTGAGAGGATTATTGCCCTTTTCTTCTTAAGACTGTAATATTGTGTACAATTGCATAATTTGTTGAGTACAAACAAGAACCACAAACGTTACTGAAAAGTATTTATATATACACCTGCACCCGCGCCAAATTAGGACATGTGGTTGTGTCTTTGAGGCTACTGCATCCACCTATGTTAAAGTGATGCTGCTTCCCCTTTAAGTGTTTGATAACACTAAATGCAGTGAATATTTAAAAAAGGTATAGAGCTGCACCAATATATCAGTGTGCACACAGTAACAAGAAGTATTTGACAAAAAACATCAAATCTATGCGACTATACATAAACAACTTAATAAACAAATATAAATCCCACAGTTAACATTCAGTTAACATTCCAGCGCTGAAGATAAAAGTCCAGTGGACTCAAGAACCAACCCAGCTAAGGACAGTGCTGGATCTTTGGAAAGGTAAGTGTCTATTTATTAAAAGGTCAGCAGCTACAGTTCTTGTAGCTGCTATCTGACAATATTTGCAGCCCGAACTGAAGCTGCTCTTTAATGTACAAAAGAGATGTTGGTAGTAGTGGAAGAGGGGGTTCAGACCTGAATGGTGCACAGAGGCCTTGGGGGAATTGCCTTTGTGGGGAGATTTTTGCTGGTGACTGTGGACAAGGGAGTGTAGAGAACAGTGAATGAGAGGGTGAAGAGGTTTAGGAGTGGGGGGGGGGGGGGGCAGACGTGAGTGGTCGACAGTAATTTTAGAAGAGTTTGCTTTTGGAGGGAGTATTTTGCTGCAAGGAGGCTTTTCATTTGAGTGGAGGAGTTTGTTTTAGGTAAAGAGAGTTCCTTTTTTAGGGAGGTGGCTTTACTGGTGGGGATATTTTCCTGAACGCCATTACTGTGCTGTGTGTTAAGCAATCCTGACCTGTTTGCTCTGTAATGCTGGGATTGCAGCAGTCAGGAGTGTGCAAGATACAGTCCAGCATATACAGTAGTTAGGCAGTTAGGATTACATAGCATATTGTGTACATATACAGTACTCCTGACCACTGCATTCTGTGTATTATATACCTGCACTCTATATGCCATAGTATTTACTGTGTATAGTCCTGACTATAAAAGTGTTCATTGTCTTTACACCAGTGGGTGCCAAGTAGTCCCTGGCTATTTTGTTAATCACTTATCTACTTATCCCTTTTATCTTGTACATCTGTTCATTCATCTACACCCTCCAACTATGTGACATGTACATTAACCTGATCACCTCCTCACTCACCATGTATGATCTGTATGCAACATATGACACAATGTTTTACCCCCCTTAATACCAGCATTAAATCACTTTGGGGTGTCTATTCTCCAAAAAGATTTCATTTCTGTCTATATTCTGTGTGTGTGTGTAAAAGAGTATGTATGTTGCAATAAAAAAGTTTAGGTTATAACCATTTTGCACTTTTACCCCCTTCCTGCCCAGGCCAATTTTCAGCTTTCAGCATTGTTGCACTTTGAATGACAATTGCGCGGTCATGCAACACTGTGCCCAAACAAAATTTCTATAATTTTTTTGTCATTTTTTAAGGTATTTAATCACCACTAGGGTTTTTATTTTTTGCTAAACAAACAAAAAAAAGTTCAAAAATATATATAAAAAAGGTTTGTTTAAAATTCTGTTATAAAATGTTATAAATAAGTGATTTTTCTCCTTCACTGATGTGTGCTGATGAGGCTGCACTGATGGGCACTGATAGGCTGCACTGATGGACACTGATATGCGGCACTGATGGGCACTGATAGATGGCACTGATGAGCACTAATAGACAGCACTGATGGGCATTAATAGGTAGCAATGATAGGCACTGATATGCTGCGCTGATGGGCACTGACAGGCATCACTAATGACCACTGGAAGCCAGCACTAATGGGCACTGATAACCAACACTGATGGACACTGATAGCCAGCAGCAGTGATGGGCACTGATACGAAGCACTGATACAAAGCACTGATGGGCACTATTAGCCACACTGATGGGGCAACACTGATCATCAGTGCCCTGATGATCAGTGCAGATGTCCCCTTTGGAGAAATGCTGCTTACCAGCCCTCCTCTCCTCACGCACTGTCAGCTTGAGGAAAGGATAGCTGATAACTGGCATTTCTTATTTACACTGTGATCAGCTGTGATTGGACACAGCTGATCACATGGTAAAAGGCAGCTCTGACTGGCCCCTTACTTGGACATGTGATCAGCTGTGTCTGAAAGACACAGTGATCACAGCTCACACATGGTGCATGCCCCATGGGGCACGCAGGGGGTGTGGTTCTAGGAGGATGTCCATGGACGCCCTCCCAGAACTAGCTGAGACCACACTGTAGCCGTCTTTTGGCTATAGCACAGTCAGAAACTGGTTAAAAAATTATTGTGTTGAGGTTTATATGTGCTTTTGAAACTCATTTGTGGAACAGTAATTAGAGACTCTATCACCAGATCAAGCTTTTTAATTAGTTGCTCCCATTAAAACAAGCATAACCAAAACACTGTTTTTTAAATTGGTTGCAGTTTCCTTTGTTTTTAGGGCCTGTTCACATATAGTGCTGTGAATGACATTTTTCTGCACT